CATAAAAAGTTTATATTCAATAGATTAAAAAAAAACCACACGGTTGTTTTATTCAGAAATTTTCGGGACAACCAAATCATCTATACATTCTATTCTCATATAAACCAGTCAATTACAATTAGACAAATTAAAACTAAAGGATAATATTACAAGAAAAACATAAAGGCAGCATTAGTTGACATAATACAGTGTTAATACATACAGTGAGGTGTGTATAGGATGCGCGTGCGTGTAGAAGCCGGGCACGTTGTGGGGGCGGTCGTGGTCCGCGTGGGGGGCGGGGAGCGCGGGGGGCGTGGACTGCACCGCCCCGCCCCCCGACACGCCCCGCCCACTGATCGCACCCAGAGACCCCGTCAAGCGAATTGTGCTTGGAAACCCTAACACTGGGAGGAAACTTGTATTTTAAAAATTTATTATTTTTACAATTGCATAAATTTCTAGAATGCTAGAACAATCACAGATGTGTGTATATTTTTAAATTATTTTTAAGTGTTCAGATAAATAGTATAAACAATTATGACTCAAATAAGATTATTTAAGTGTTTTTAATATAGTAATACATTTTACTCTTTACTAACAATATAAATGGGAAAGTATGATGGATAGATGGATGTTTCTTAGAGTTTGCAGCTTAAACTACTGAACGGATCTCGATGAAATTTGTAATAGACGTAGAGGATAATCTGGAAGAACATGTAGGCTACTTATTTTTGCTTTTTATTTCACTAAGCTAAAGGTAACTAAATAATTAGTATGTACCATTAGAGGGGAGGGCGTGGTGCGGCACGATGGGCGTGTCGCGAACCTCGCCCGCGTGCACCGCCTGCAGTAGCGGCGCGTTGTAGCAGTTCTGAGTGTTTGCGATCTGTAGTAATTAGAATTATATGTGAATAACCTAGTAAAAACACCGATTTAAAAAAACTACTAAATTTTGTATCTGTGAAGATTGAGGAAAAAAAAATATTTTAACAGATTACGATAATTTGTATTTTTGTATGTATTGGAATAACTTGAAAACTAACGGGCTGATTTCAAAAGTTCTTTCATCATTAAAAAGCTGTTACCACTAGACAATATACAAATATACAATTTAATATATAAAATGTTGAAATTGCTACTTTATGGCAATTTAAATATAATAACTAAGTGTTATATTGCCTGTTACTCACAGATTAATTACCTTTCTAACGGTGTAAGAATTTCTGAAATCGGCCCAGTAGTTTTTGAGTCATTTCAATACGAACAAAAATACAAATCTTTCCACTTTATAATATTAGTATAAATGACCTTTCGGAATAACTATGGAGCCCACCATTCATTAAAAGAGAGAATTCGAGAACTGACCTGCTGCACTGGTCTGGGTATGTTGACGTAGGCGTGTCCGGAGCACTGCATGTCGGCCTCCGCCCCCGCATACGACCGGCCGAACGAATCATTATTCATCCTGAAATATCATAAATATTAATGACAATCCCATACATTATTTTGATACAAACCAAATTTGGTTCAATGAAAGAAGTAAAATTCCAATTAGGCTCTAGACTTGTGCTAGGATATGGTTCACGAGAATAGTCACACAGCGGGATTCGAACCCTTGACCACAAGGTCGGTAATCCGTACCACAAACCATTAGGCTATTGGCGCTTAATTACAATTATTTTAGTACTACCTACAATGGATGTACAATACTTCATATTAATATTACAAATGCTAAAGTTTAGATAGATTATTACTACATCCAAAGCATTTTGAAAGAGTCACGGATGTAAAATGCCTAAGAGAGCATAGTTTCCGTGCGAAGTCAAGGAAAAATCTAGTACAACATAACAGACCTCATAGAGTCAAGTCGGCATTGCGCCACCGCCTCGTCGTAGGGGGGCGGAGCCTCACCCCGCGGCAGGTAGTTGCCGGGGGGCTTCCACGCTGCGAGTGCGGTCTCGCACGTGCCCCCCATGTACCCCATACTGCCACTTATGTATCTGAAAGTAAATAATAAAAAAACATACAGACGAATTGAGTACCTCCTTCTTTTGGGAAGTCGGTCAAAAATTAGGAAATCATAAAAAAAATGTAATTTCACCTAATGTCACCTATTTAACAAAACACACCTAAATAGCAAAGTGACCTCTCAACGTACACATTCTGATTTTTAGATGTTTTGTCTTCTGGTGCAGCCCTGGGATTGCGTGGCCAGTATGCGCCACTCTTAACACAGACTTTTATAAAAACATAATCATTTCCATAGATGTATTCTATTAAATTATTCAAAATTAATAGAGTAATTGATAAAATTAAATAAGAAAACATATTCTATGAAACATTTTTTTTCCTATTAGAAACAGTACAACAATCAGTGTCTTAAAGGATCAGTGGTCCTTCGAGTCGGATGGCCACGCAACCTCGGGTGGCACCACCTATATCAACAAAAATAGGTGGTGTTTTTTTTTTTTATAACACAAGGTGGCAAACGAGCAAGCGGCCACCTGAAACCGCCAAAATGGCGAAGCGACCGCTGCCCATAGACATCCGCAATTGCAGATGCGTTGCCTACCCTTATACGACGGAGGAGGAGACGCACATAAAGAAAATATTTCCCCTTCCTATGCATCTCCTCCACCGTCAAATCCACTTCCTCTTCCCAACCTCTCCTTAAAAGAAAAGGGTGGTAAAGAGAAAGGGACTTAAATTAGGCCTCTGGCACCGCACTCATCAGACGAAACACGGAATTGCTTCCATTTCACGCCTGTCTTCTGTGTGGTTGTGGTACTACACCGGGCGTGCCGGCCCATTCGTGTTAAGATGTTAAAGCGGGCACTACCACTGTCAAAAGTAGTACTGTAGTTTGTCTACACTAAACTGTACTTACCCAATGCTAGTAAGACTGCGTTGATCATCGAGACGCGGTGGGCGACGTCTCTTGTGCGTGCGCACGCGGTACACGACGAGCGCGACGGTGGCCACCACGAGCGCGGCCGCGCCCCCCGCCGCAACACGCACCCCTGCCTCGCCCTCTGCTGGCTTCACCACATCATCTAAGCAGATGAACTCGCAGCAAGTGTTGCCAACACGAAATGATCGACAGTCCTGGAATAAAAAGCATTAAACTTTTAAAGTTATTTACAATTAAACAAAAATCTGGCTTAGCATCATAGGCTCTGCAATCCCAGTAAGCTCTATCAGAATATGTGTAAAATGATGACAGTTACAGTATGAAATAAAATAAAAAAAAAACACAATTTTTTGAACAAAAAAAAAACAAATGTAACAAGAAAACAATATTTCCAGAACATACTGAGATAAAAAAAAAATCTTGGCCAAAAGGAGAAGGCTCAGCTAATGCAGCCAGCTTGTCACTGAAAACAGTGCTGGTTTTCAGCCATGAAAAGAATATTCTATGTTTTTTTTACAGGGAACGCTATTGGGCAGTCATGACTTAGTAAATAAAACTTAAATCATTTAATATATGGAGATGTATGACTAAAGCAGAGAAGTTGTAGAGAAAAAAGGGAACAAGGTATTATCATTTTTCAATTTATGCCCTCCCAAATTTTCTTCTTCTATATAATAAGCAAGTAGGATGGGTATGTAATCAGCATTTACTCTTAGAGGTATTATTGTTTTTAAATAAATAGGAATAAGAAAAAGAATACCGGAGAATAGAAGAATCTGAGAATGCTCTTACAAGATTTTAATTTGTTTTTTTACATCATAAGGTAGCATATAAGCTAGCAGCGCTAATTTACCTTGGATACACTTAAGACTAATGCCAGGTTTTTTTTTTTGTTCATTTAGTGAACTTACCTGTGGGGGTGAACACAGCACTGCTTTGCATACTTTAGGCAGACCGTTATCACAAACACAGAGTGTGCAGGTGTCCGGTCCAGGCACGTAGTGTAACCCATGAGATATATGCCTCCCTCGTAAATCTGTGCATTCACCTTGAGCAGCGATACCTAGAACAAAGCATCCCCAGTTACACACAACACTGCCTCATAAATACCAAGGTTCACGGTTCTTTAATTACTCACTGTAAAAATGCACAGTCGTTAAACACAAAACAACTTTTTCCAACATCTTATGCGAGTATGTATTCAACTAATACATATAAAAGCCATTTTAAAGGCTATAGAACTTTTGTCCTATTTATTTCAAATCGATATTTCGTTCGCTTGCTGTCTGAAATCTTTGCTAAAGATAGGGACAGACATAAAACTGATCATGCGTCTTGAGTTTTTAGTTTCGTCTCGTCTCTGTTTTCGAGTTTGCGCTTTACATTGAGATTTTTTGCGAATTGTGCCTGATGACAGATGTCATCTGTCATGTTAAGTTGTCAAGTGATCAAAAATATAGTCAAACAAGAATGGCTACCCCAGTGAAAATCTATCGATTGTTTCTGATAGAAAAATCAGAAAAACTTACACCCGATCAGAAGTCTTGATGAAAATTCCCTGGAATGCCCAAGGAATGGTTCTGTCAGCACTGAACTAGTTTAGGACAAGCCGTTTACAATATGCCAGTTGAGTCTGCATGATCGAAATGGCCAAAAAAGTGGAACACTATGCCAATCATTGGACCTATTCGCTGGCTCCATTTAGTGTTTATATTTTGCCAGTTGTATGCTAGACTCAATATTGAATTTTACTGTAAAACTGTACTGTCCAAGTGTAAACCAGGCATAATGCTTGCAACATTATATGTCTGTCATAACTGGTAACATAATGTTGGTAATCCTGCTACATTTCTATAATCTGTGATGTTGGTACAATACTCTTTGGTCATTGCATCGTATCATGTAAAATTGTAAAATTCTATTTTTTCTCATATTTTGTGCAACTGTAAGGAAATCGTTAAATATTGACCGAATAATATATTTACCATCGTTAATAATGTTTTACTTAAGCTAAAATCAACACTGTAGTAGTATAATTATGTGAAAAAGAAAGTGTTACCTATCAGTGCAGTGTTTATGGACTCGCTGTTATCAATTTTATATAAAAATATTTTTAATCATGATAAGTATGGTTGATATTTTAAATTATATCCAAAGTGTTAAATTTCCTTGAAGGCACTCTTTACTTCTTAGTATATAAGGTGTGGAAGAGGTAAACTAGGTCATAATAGTGTTCTATCATTTCATATTGAGTACAATGAATGAGAAAAAGTTGTTCCACAATTTTAAGAGCTATATAAACGATACGCCTTTGGTAAGTTTTTGTATTATTATTATTACATTTTATTTTTTAAAAATGCTATTGTTTTTTTAATAGTATGATATCTTTAATTTTATATTACAGAATAATGGTGATAAAAATGGTTCAATACAAGAGTTAAAACCTAAGCTGTTAAATGGTGAGTGCTGATGTTTTAAATCCATATTTCATTATAGAGAAAAGTGAAGACTAATTTCCTTAAACTAATTTCCAACCAATGATGGAATCATAATATTATTTTAAGGGCCTGTCCTACAATTCTTGTAAATTGTCAGATAACAATCCAACATATAAAATATGTGATGGAAATATCAGATTGGTACTCTATCTGACAGTGATGTTACTTTTAAGCTATCTGAGCCTCGGTCAGCCAGTGGTGGGACAGGCCCTAAATCTCATGTGGGTTTATTTTCTATTTAACAAATGATCTGAAAACATAGTATAAATGAAAAATAGTGCAACAGTAGAAATAGAATCCAATAACTAGCAACCAGTGGTTGGTTTATTTAGTGTCAGGTTTAAACCCAAACTGTCTAGTAAGAGCTTCTTATCATGTAATTTTGATTACTAAGTGTGGTTACCTTTTTAGCTCCTATTTAAATAAAATAATATGAAATTCAGTACTAGTTTTGTTGAAATACTAAAATTTTATTAACATAAATTACAATCAATGTTTTTAATTTGATTATATTTCACTTCTCAAGCTTGGGATAAACAAAACTGAATTATAAACAAAAACAATCAAAAAACCAAAACACTAAAAGGCAACAAAATAATTTCTTGAGTTACTTAGACCTCTTATTGTAGCTTTTGTTTTACAATTTTCTCATAGTGACATGTTTAGTATATAACTAACTAGGGAATTGTGATATGATATTTTATTATTATTACACTTTCATATGTACAGTGACAGTAAAAATGCAAACAAATTAATTTCCTTATTGCTTTATCTTAAACAATTCAATAACAAACAAGTAAATTGTTTACTTCATATGAATAAGTTATAATTAAACATTACATGACATATTCCTTTTTTAAGCCAGTTAAACAGTTCATAAAGAGGAAATATTTGTATTTTTGTATATATTGAACTATCTCAAAAACTATGGGGCTGATTTAAAAAATTCCTTCACAAATTAATAGCTACATTATCACTTAGTCACATAGACTATATTCAAAAAATAATTCCACGCAGATGAAGACGCAAGTAACAGTTAGTTTAAAAATGTATTAAGAGGCATAGTGAACTGATTTTTTCACTAGTACTTTCTTTGAAAGGTACTATACCAGTTATCAAGTTTAGTGCCACCTCATGTCCTTGTTGACATTTTACAAAATTATGATAAGCTCCATATTTTGTTATAAAATAAACTAAACAGTGTTACAAAATCAAATATGGTCTTTTAATTATTTTTTAATGACACCTACTGGCAATTAATTTAAATACAATATTTTCTTAATCTATACTATTATAATAAAGCGTAAACACTCCTTTCTTTGTTGCCTAAGATGTCAGCAATTACAGCATGTTTTTAAATAATTCTTTTTTTAATAAAAAGCCCGACATTTACGTCACGCTTTAGGCTATTTAGGCTATATATTTTCACGCCATTCAACTTAGGGGGTAAATATTTTGAATAAAGATCCTAATGTGGGAAAGAGGCCATAAGTTGCTGCCAACATCAAGGAATCAAGGTTGCCAATGTTTTTCGTGTAATGTCATTTTAACATTTGCTATTGATAATTTGACAAATGTAAACAATGAAGTAAAATTTTCGTAATTCTATGCGGATGAAGCCGCACGGAACAGCTAGTATTATATAAGATAAAAGATTTGTATATGTGTATGTATTGGAATAACTCAAAAACTACTGGACCAATTTTAAAAATTCTTTAATCATTTGAAAGGTTATCTTTGAGTAACATAGGCTTTATTTTATTATTGTAATTTCATGCGGATGGAGTCGTAAGCTGCAGTTAATTATAATAATGGTTATAAAGCTATTAATAGATAGTGTTAGTGAGATTATGTGAAAAATGTCTAAGTGAAGTCAATTGCCTCCTCTATATAGTTTTTTAATCTCTTTAACTCTTAGTTAACTGACACATCAATGATGTAAAACAATAATAACTCGATTGCGTATGCGTCGCGTAACTAACTGTAACTCTCCTTATGCTATCCTGGTACATTTTGTAACAATTATTTTTTTTATCCCAAACATAGTTTCTATGTCTTAGGCGTAAGGTTGAAGTTACTGTGAATTTTAATATAATAAACAGAAACTGTATGTTACGACCTCGCGTTATGGTGGTAGGAAATGATGACCCACTAGGGTGATGCTAGTCGATTGGTTTTGGTATTGCTTGGGCGAGGTTAGTTATTTTTGTAATCAATACAATGAAATACTTAGAATTGTTGATGGAATTAAAAAAAAACCTTGTTCAGTATGAATCAATTTCTATAGAAAGGTCAAATTATAGGAGGATCATTGTATATACGAAGGTAAAAAAATATATTCCTTTTACTGACAGACCTTGTAAATAATTAAGAGCCTGTCCTACAATTCTTGTAAATTGTCAGATAACAATCAAAGTATCGGATTTTGGTACTCTATTTGACAGTGACGTCACTTTTAAGCTATCTTATCTATCAGCTAGTGGTAAGACAGGACCTTAGTATTTTTATCCTACAATTCTGTGAAATATTTGTACAATTTTCTCACATGAATAGAGTCGTAATTACAATTTTACAATTCAATATTTAGTGTATTGCTTTTACATTTATTTTCTTATGCGTCAGTATGTAAGCTAAGGTTGGAATGCCGGATATGGCCTTAGGTGATTCCCCTGAGTATTTGTAGTTCTTTGACACTAACTGAGGGGTTTCCTTGTTTTTCAGGGATTAAACCTTAAGCCCTTTAGACTTTTACAAACGTATTTACTTAAACAAAACGGTACAAACCACTTCTGTATTATTTTCTTTTTTTTCTTCTTTATTCTGATTCGATAAATACATGAAAATAATAAATACTCGACTGTAGATATCTAGTATGGACATACAAAAACATTTCTCTGTAATAATAATTGTATTATACTTCACTCGTTAAAATTCGCTGACACTACGGGAGTAGGATAAGGCAGGGGAGATGATGATGATGATGACTTCACTCCTTAAAATCTGAATTGTTGAAGCTGTTAAGCCTTCCGAACATCTATTCAAACATATAAAAATTATAAATAAAAGTAACATATTTTTAATTAACATTTTAATCCACTAGTTTCAATATAACTAACGACTTGAAATTAAAAAAATAATAAAAAAACACGGCCTATTTTACTCACTGATAATGTAACTTTTTATAGGTGAAAGAAATTTTTAAATCGACCTATTAGTTTTTTAATTATTTCAATACATGCAAAAATACAAATCTATCGTCTTTATAATATTAGTATGGATTAGAATATCTATTGAAAAACAGTGCTAGAGACCAATAACATTCACATGAATGGTCCAGTCGCCTTTTTAATACCACGACCATATACTCGTAGAACACACGCTTGCACGTTTGACATAATCGTGTGTGCGATTAAATTGCCATGAATATCAAACGCCTTCGTTCTCATTTGTGCATTTGAATTTTGTTATATGAAATCGAGCGTCGGTGGCTCAGTGGTTTGAACATTTGACTTGTAATCTACAGGTCTTAGGTTCGAATCCCGCCATGTACCAAAGTGATTTTCGATTTTTCGAATTTTCATATACACATAATTTACCCGAAGTTCTTACGGTGAAGGAAAACATCGTGATGCCTGCACATATCGGCGAAGAAATTCAAAGATATGTGTGAAGTCAACCAACCCGCACTTGGCCAGCGTGGTTGACTATGACCTAGTCACCCCTTACTAGGGTAGGCTCCGAGCCCCTCGGTGGGGACGTATAGTGAGCTGGTGATCATGAATTGAGAATTTGACAAATGTAAACAATAAAAAGTTTTTATAATTTCACGCGGGTGTAGCCGCACAGGAACTAATATGAATAAAAGAAATAAATGATTAATTCAAACAAGGTCACGGTGGCAGT